GTATAGGGTAGAAAATATAACAAAATATACCAAACGAAATTGTGCGCTGTGGACGTTGACGTCGCTGCCGACGCTGGCGTCGCTGCCGACAGCAGCAGCTTGTTGTCATTTTCATTGTCGCTCGTTGGCGTTGGCAGCGACGCCATCGTCGCCATCGTTGGTTGGTTTGGTCATGTGACTTGTTGTATGGAGCAACTGGTTGTTTTTGTTGCTGTTGTTGTTATTTCTGCTGCTTTTGCTTTGTTGTAGTCGCTTTGGAAATCTGTTTTTATTTGCACGCTCTCTTTCACATACACATACACACACACACGCACACGCACACACACACACATACATACACGAGGAGAGTCCATGCTGTGTAATATGATTAACAGATGTTGCCGCTTGATTTGATTATGGCCACCAATTGCGCCTATATATAGCGACATATACAGTTATGTATGTATATGTATATGTATGTATGTCAAACTAAATCCAAAGGGCTAATACATAATTCAAGCGTTCGCTGATAACCAGCAGCATATCAATCAAAATTATTGTTCAGCTGCCCCTGCCCCATTGCCTTGGCCCAAAGACGTCGACGGCGACGGGGCAGAGCGACGCAATCTGCTCGAGTGGCCACTGGCCCAGAGTAGCTCTCCAAACATGAAAACATATATACACACATATATATATATATATGCATATATGAGTTAATGTTTTTCTTTGCATGTATTTGCTTAGTATTGTTGCCTTGTTTTTCATTTTTTTTGTTGCTCTCTTTTGTTTCGCTTGCGTAGCTGAAAAAAGCATGTGATCCCAGCGTATGCCAAGAAGCAGAAGGCAAGATCACAGCATGAGCACAAGAGCGGGTGCGAGAGCGAGAGCGAGATATCAGTTGTGGCTGCATCTGCACCGAAACCAAAGATACCCTTGCACAAAGCTTAAGTCAACAAAAAAAAACACTTGTAAATATCATGAGTAACAGCCTTGGACCTGGGTTCGATTACCCGGTGGTGCAAGGCTAATCACATTCCGTGGAAGAGTGCATCGAACGCTAGACAACCCTGATAGATACTCTAGAAAATTGATTTTCATAATCGCATAGCCGTAAGTTCCCGGCTATCTATAATCTATAAGCAAAAGAAAAAGGTCGCACTAAAAGCAAACAACTTTTGATTTTTTTTTTTCTTATTGCCTTTCATTTAAACTTTAAATTTCACAATTGGCTTACGATTTATAATCTGCTGACACAACTGGAACGTTCCTGATAATAATTAGCCTAGGCTGGCAATAAATAGTATGTGTGTGCGATTCTCATGGGAAATTTATAACGAGCCTGAAGGTTTCTTAGTATAATTTCCTTATAAATCTTAAAATAGAATATCTTCAGTTTTCATGAGAAGGTTTTTAGCTATTGATTTTTTCCATGAGTACCTGTGGAGCACAGAGATATCATCTAAATTTATAAATAAATAAAGTACTAACTGATATCTAAGAACTCTCTGTATATGATTGCTACGGCCTTAGACTGATAAAGAATATGTATATATATATATATATAATCAATTGGATCGCATAGGCTATCAAAGTATAATCCACCCTTTGTTATAAATAAATAAAAACCAATTGAACTTGAAGCAAAAAAAAACCCAACTGAATGAAAGTACGTAGACCCTGGTGATAAGTCAAAAATTTAGCGATCCTACGATAATTATTTGTGCACATTTATTTTTTATTTTATTTTTTTTTGCTGATCGACGCCAGGTGACAGTTGACAGGTCAGTGGCAGGTCCATCGCTCAAAGCACGTAGACCGGAAGTCTATTGGGGGGAGCAAGGTCTAACAGTAATTGACAATCTTGCACTGATTAATTGCGATCTTTGGGCGCCAGTCGATCCCTCTCGCTCTCTTTTTAGCTAATCCATCACGAATGTCTGACTGTCTGAATGTCTTTGCCGTATTATATTCAACACTCACAAGATATTAACACATCACGCCGGACAAGACAATAATAATAACAAGTGGGGGCACATGTGATGCTCTGTCGGTGCGTCGCAGCTGGACGGGAATCATGTGAGCTCGCGCTCGCTCCTCAATTGATGCCCCCGTGCCCCGTGCCGCGTGCCGTGTGCCCCGTGTGCCCCATGAGGCAGCGGTTGGCCCGCGTAGTCGCAGTCGTCGCCTATCTGCATAAATATATCTCTATATATACATATATATAAATTGACTGTATATCTGCATGTATGTTTATAAGATATAAGTGTGTGTATATATATATCGATCATGCGAGTACTTGTTCGTACTCATATTCATACGTCGCGTTTGCCCCGGTGGAAGGGAGTGGTGTAGGGGGGGGGAGGGGGGCGGTTTCGCTACTCGTTTGTTTATCGTCGTTTATTTAGTCGACACTTGGACGGGACGATCCGATCCGATGCGATGCGATTCCGATTCCGATTCCCATTCCGATTCTGTTACGATTCGTAACGCCTTGAACTTCATTTGGCGTCTAGCATCGCGGCCATAAAGATTGTTTTCCATTGCGAGCGCGATCTTACGTTTGTTTTTTTTTTTCTTTTTATTTTGCAAATGCAACGGTATTCGTAACGTAACGGTATCCAGTTCTCGTTTACAGTGTTGATAATCAATCTCGATATTTATCGATTTGCAGCGTCTGTTTATTGAGCATAGATCCGCATGCATACGGCGCCGTTTAAGCATAGGTAAGCCTCCGGCCTGAATTCCGGCCTCAATTATCATATTGCCGGACTTTTGGGTCTTTTTGAGTACAAACGGGCCGACCAATGTGTGTGCGTGTGTGTGTGTGTGTGTGTGTGCGTTTGTGGGGCCAGACTCGTGATCCAGTCGGGCCCACTAACTAATCTATGTATGTGTACACAGAAATTTCCCCCGTCTTATCGCGTTGGCATAAAACAAAATGAAGCAATAAAACACGTTGCCCGCCTCCACCAGAGCAACCCCCTCCCCCCCCTCCGACCCCCTCGCACCGCCATACCGCCCAGTGCTACAGTCATAAAGCATGCACAGCAAAAATTCGTTAATTATAGCGCTAATTTAGGCAGTTGGCGTATTTTCAATTTAGCGCTACTTATTGTTAGACGAGCCATTTATAAACCCACTAAAAATAAATTAGCTCAAATCTGCGACGTTCACATTCAAGTGGATGTGACGAAATAGGTGGAAACGACGAAATAACGGTATTCCGGAATCTTAACACACTTCCAGCCCAATCCAAAATAATCCACAAAGTGCCCAAAGTTCAATCCAATAAACGATAATAATTCTCTTCGATCGATCTTATCGGGTTTTGCTATTCGGTAGCATCGTAAAAACTTTTGTTGGCCATCATCGAAATCAAATAAAGTAAAAGCGAAAATCATTCAAAGCCATATCCAATTTGCGGTCAGCGGCGGGGTATTCGGGTTGGGGTGCATTCGGTGGTTTGTCATGAGTAATCGTCACGTGCCGAATGATTCTATTCTATTTATAAGGCGGACACAAGTTACCCAAATGACCCACTCGACAATGAATAGCGCAAAGATGTGCGCATTATACACAAATTGCAGTCGCTCGACTACAGAGACTGAGAGAGAGACAGGGATTGAGGTGAAGACTGAGATAGAGACTGAGAGGGAGACTGAGAGGGAGACTGAGAGAGAGACTGAGAGAGAGAGAGACTGAGCTAGAGACTGAGATAGAGACTGAAGTAAAGACTGAGATAGAGATGGGGACAGGGACAGGGACTGAGACAGGAACTAAGATAGAGACTGAGATAGAGACAGGGTCCGATATAGAGACAGAGACAGAGATAGAGACAGAGACATTGTAATTGAGCGGATTGTCCGTGCTTTTGTTTGGCAGCTGAGCATTTGTCTATTGATGGGGGCGCATCTGAGTCACGGATCACATTGTGATCAACAGCTATGAAATCACATGATAGCATTGAGCTCATCTAAACATCAACATCAAGAACTTATTGGCAGTTAATCTTTGTATTCACTTTTTCTGATCCCTATTCGTAAATATGGATAAATATAAAATAGTAAACTATTGAAAAGTTAAGCCCAGCCAGCAAGTGTGTTTACCTATAATTCTTATACTAAAAAGTAAAATTGGAATTTTATAAAAATATGACAAAATTATTTCAAATTTTCTTTATTTTATCCTGTGAAGATTGTGTGAATTTTTATCCTATTTACAAAATCTTCACAGAATAATAAAAAATGAAAACTTGGAATATTTTTTACATATTTTCAAAAAAATTCAAGTTTTATTCTGGAATAATATAAAAATATGAAAATATATATTCAAAATTTTCATATTTTTTATCCTGTGTGCATTTTTATCCTATTCACAAAGTAGGATAAAATAATTAAAATTTGGAATATAATTTCATATTGTTTTATATTATTCCAGAATAAAGTTTTGAATTTTTTATATTATTATATTATGTGCAATTTTGTTTAAGCTTTGCTAATATGTACATATTTAAATGGGGAAAATAAATTGTTTAATTTAAGATCTAAACTAGTTCAAATACTTAAAAATTTAGAAACAAAGCTGCGTGTAATTTTAAAAGCTATTCGCTTCGAACCCGGGATTCTGATTTATTTGTTAATATGCTCAAAACTTTCAACTCAAAATCAAACTGATTGCACGTAAATCAACCGCTAAGACTCGATTTTACAAATTTTTTAGCTTTCAATTAAAAAATGTTTGTAGCTAATTCAAATCTAAAGCATAAACTACTTGCAGCCTTTACTTTTTGCGCTTGCAGCCCTGTTTTAAACAAATATTTATTTTTACTTCAACAAATGACCTCAACGAGATGCAATCACCCAGTCACAATCCTTACGTGGCTTGGCTTGAATTGTCATTCCATACGTGGATGCTCGAGACAATGCGGGAAGCATTTGATGCGTCAGCCCAAACACGTCATCATCTCTTTGTTTCTCTTCCTAATTGTCTCTCTTTCTCTCTCTCTCTCTTTCCGATTGCAGCCAATTCCCCTTCGATGCGAGCCAGGTGCGCGTCCTGCTCTATAGGGAGGACGACAGTCACGGCAGGCGTCTGCTCTTCGACTCGCATGCCCTGCAGAAGGTGACGCTGAAGGAACCCAACAACGGCAGCAGCAGCAGCAGCAGCTCGGGCGGCAAGTTCCTCAAGAATGACAAGTACACGTCGCTGCAGAATGGCAAGATTCAGGCCAAGGCACATTCCAACAATAACGGCAGCAACCTGATCGAAGTGTGCCCCGAATATGGCTACAAGGTGAGCAGCTGCCTCCCAATCCGAAACCCAATCCCCTATTAATCTCGAACCATTATTCTGTTGCGCAGCACAATCGTCCGACGGGCGCGGATATTACGCCCATTGGCGAGATGGTCTTCGGCTCGCTGGCCATGTCCTTCTGCGGCACCGCGCTCAAGGTGCACTGGCTGCCGCAGCCGGCACGCATACTCTGCTCCCAGGTGTACCTGACGCCCACGGGCAACGCAGCTGGCACGGGGACGGGAGCCGGCGGCGCTGGCAGCCACTCGCCCTATTCCACGCTCTCGATGAACAGTTTGACGCCGCGCAGCTCCATTTGCAGCGAGCACGGCTCCATGGATGGCCTGTCCATGAACTCCTTCTCCATGCCGTTCAGCGTCAGCGTCGGCCGGCACATGAGTCTGACGCCGCCGCTGGATGTGCCCACGGCGCCGGATCAGCAGTCGCTGTCCATTGCGGACAGTGGGCCGCGCTTCTCCTCCACGTACAGCAATGCCACCGATTCCGGTTACTCGGCCAGCGCCAGCGGGAGTGGCAGCGGGAGCGGGAGTGGGAGTGGCACTGGCGGCGCCTATTCCAGCGGGGATCAGTGGTCGTATCAGTATTCCACGCGCAGCAGCTTCGGCAGCGTCCTCTCCGACCAGTCGGAGGCGATGCGCAAGCTCAGCCTGGACGATTGGGCCTTCTATGCCAGCTCGCCGCACCTGGACGAGTTCGCCAGCGATGGCTGCCTGCAGCGCCGAATCTCGCGCAATCTGCGCACCTCCTTCGAGTACGAGCATTCCAAGAACGATTTTATTGGCTTCTTCAGCGACAACTACGCCGGCAACAGTGCTCCGCCCAATGGCAACAATTCCGCTTCCGCTGGCGCTGGCGTCGCCGCCGCCGCCGGCGGCAGCGAGGGAGGCGGCATGGCTCCACCTCAGTACAGGCGCGCCAGCTACTGTGCGAACGAGTCGCGCAGCAATCCGGAGATGGGACGCCGCCAGGCGAATCTGAGACGTCGCCCGAAGCTCGGACTGGCCGTGTGCATCACCATGAGCGAGTCCTTCGAGGAGGAAATGGAACTGTTCTGCAGCGAGCACATTGCGCTGCTCGAGTCCATGCTGAGTCGTCTGCGGGCCAGCACTGAGCACGCCTACATCAATCACAAGAACTTCTTGCAGGTGCGTCGCCCTGGCAGATCTCAAATATATCTACCTACTATAATACTTTTTCTTGTGCAGATCATGTTCCAGGCCTGGCAGGATGCGCAGCGTTGGTTCAGCGATCTGTTTACGGCGCCGCGCATTAAGACGCCCGTCTGGCTGAGCATCACCACGAGTGGCAGCAAGTACTCCAAGACCGTGGCCGAGCGCTTCATGAAGGAGCTCTGCGATCTGCTCTCCTTTGCCGACACCAAGGACTCCAACTTGTAAGCCGAGTGAACGGTCTCACTTCTTCAGCCTAATCCTAAGTCTTATCTTTTGTTTATGCCTTGCAGCTTCATCAGCACCATGCTGACGGGCATACTCACGTATCATCTGGGCTGGGTGGCCACCGTGTCGGCCTTCAATAGCTCCAGCTCGCGTCGCTGCACTGCATCGGCCTCGTCGGCGGCCATTGAGCGGCGCGCCAAGCTGCTGCAGGTCTCCCAGAAGCATCCGTACAATGCGCTGTGGGCACAGCTGGGTGATTTGTATGGCGCCATCGGCATGCCGCCCAAGCTGGCGCGCACCATCATCTACGGCTCGGAGAAGATGTGGGTGGACAAGCTGCTCAATGTGCTCACCTACTTCATACGCTGCAGCGAGGTGCGACGCGCCGCCAAGCGGGAGGACTTCAACAAGCAGCTCATCAACGAGCTGGTGATCAGCCAAAGCGGCCAGGAGCGGCACAAGAGTCCGCCCGCCATGCGGCGACGTGCTGCGGCAGCTGGCGTTGGCCTCAGTCGCACCACCACCTGCAAGCAGAACCTGAATGCCATTGTGGATGACGATGATCTGCAGCAAGAGGATGAACTGGGAAGCGGGGATGAGGAGCTAGAGCTAGAGCTGGAGCTGCAGCAGCAGCAACAGCAACAGGAGGAGGATGCCAAGCTGATTGGCACACTGAAGAAAAACGAGATTCCGACGGTGCTGGCATTTCGCGACTCGCACTTTGTGCAGCAGGAGCTGCGCATTGGCAACTACCTCATGGACACGGGCATCGAGAAGAAGGCGCTGCTAGCGCGGCAGGCCCAAAAGTACTTTCGCACCGGCAAGGATGGGCGCATACGTTTGACTGTGACGACGCCGGAGAACGTGGAGATGTGCATGGAGGAGGACTCGAATGCCGGCTCCGTCGGCACCGGCGGCAGCATTGACGACGGCGCCATCGAAGCCCTGGAGTTCGATGAGAGCCGAACAGCTGCAGCAGCAACTGCAGCGGAAACGGATCCGAATCCAGCGTTGCCCTGCAAGAAGAACTTCTTCTGGAACATAGTGCCCACGACGGGCGTCAAGGAGGGCTTCAGTCTCAGTGATCTCGCGAAGCTGCAGCAGGGCGTCAAGATCATAAATCGCAAGCTGGAGCGCCGCAGTAGCAGTTACTCCGTGGAGAACGAGCCGCCGTCCGCCGGCAACGAGTCACTGGAACATCTGGGAGCGGATCGCCGTGTCTCGCATTTGTCACTGTCGGATCTGATCACACAGAACAGCATGGGCAAGAGCGATCGCATGACGTGGGGCATTGAGCCCATCAAGGAGAATGTCAGTCTCGAGGAACAAATCCACTTTGATCTCTGCCAGAAGCTCATCGAACGGGAGCACGGCATCTGCCGCCAGACCTCAGCGGACAATGGCAATGGCGTTGTCTTCGTCCTGGGCGACAATGAGCCGCTGATAAATCTCAAGAAGAGCAACGAGGATCTCACCGATGAGGCAAAGCCCTCAATGCTGTGCGCCCTGCATCAGCGCACCCATGACGCCAGCATGGCCAACAAGAAGCACTCGGGCATGAAGTTCAACTTTCAGCAATATCCGCAGATTGCGACGAACTACATGAAGAGCAAGAATCTGGTCATGTCCAACTACGATCTGCTGATGGACAAGGTCAGCAAGCTGGAGGCCAGCGAGTCCCTCAAGTCCAGCGACAGCAGCGTCACCCTGCAGCAGCAGCAACAACAACAACAACTGGCGGCCAGCAGCAGCTCCACAATTTCGCCAGCGGCTGTGGGCAGCGAACGTTGCATCGTGTGCAACAGCGGAGGCGCGCTCAGTGGCGGCGCCACGTACCAGACGCCCTCCAACGCGACCGAGCTGGAGTTTGAAACGGACGAGGTGCACTGCTACAACGAGAGCAGCAACAGCTCCAGCGCCTTGCAGCCGGTCAACTCGGCTGCCTCCATCGATACGCTGAAGTCGATGCCGGAGCCGGCGTCCACGCCCAGCTATACGCGACGGGTCCAGGCGAAACGTGTGAACTCGCAGCGCAGCTCCGTCTCATCGGTGGCCGCCAAGTGTGCGGCTGTCAATGAGTCGCAGCAGATGCTGAAGCTGCCCGTGCCGGGCATCAAGGAGCTGCCGCAAGAGGATGAGCCGCCCGGCGACAAGCTGCGCGCCGGCTTCATTCCATCGCTGATGCTGAGCGTCAGCGATCACTACGTCTCCGACATGGTGCTCCAGGTGAGGAACACTCACAATTAAATCAAATTAAATGCATGACTAACAAATATTTCTTTGTATGATCTTGCAGGGCACGTGTGCACCGCCGTTTAAGTGGGAAATGAATCTACGCGAGGACCTGGCGCTGGCCGCACGTTCCGCCTCGCTCATCTCACAGCCGGCGGAGAACATTGCCATTGTGGCGGACATGGATAAGTGGGATGTGCGTCTAATCTCATCGCAGTCACAGCAGTTCCCCTATGCCGGCGGCCAGAGCTCGCCGGTGGGCATGTCCCAGCTGGTTTCCAGCATGCTCGAGACTGTCCAGGCCATGCACGCCGGCGGCATACCCGCCTACGACGTAAGTCCTTCTCAATGTAGACAACTAAATGGATTTAGCTAATCACAATTTGTATATGCATTTGCAGTGCCTGTCCTTTCTGGAGTCCAAGCTGCAGGAGATCTACATGCAATCGGAAACCTTGGCTGCATTTCTTCTCGAAACGGATCCCTGCCGTCTGGGCGACATTACGACACCGCTGCAGCTCTCCGAGAATGATGTGCCGCTGCTGCTCTCCATTGCGTACATCCATACGCCCAAGATTAGTCGCAAGTGCGGCATCAGCTTCAGATGACAAACGCGTCTGGGCCGGACCAACAATCATTGCCAAAACATAATTAAGAGCCAGTTCATCAAGCTTCATCCTCTCACGCATCATCCAAAGCGAAACAAGCGAAATACTCCAGCGAATTTTCATTTCACTGACTTTGTGATATATATATATATATTTATATGAATAATAGCGTGTAGTAAAAGCAGGTTACGTTAGTTAGGGCATACGGCAGCTTAACATAACAAACAAACAAACAAACACTCATACTCTATAGAAGTCGCACCTGTCATCCATTATGGCATTAATATTAACATTTATAATTATATACCATACCATAGCATACAACGATATAATTTAGGGAACCCACTCATCGCAGTCACATGAAGAAGTATTGTAAATTATTTGATTTAGATTTAGTTAGCATGATTGTGTGCACGATTTAGTAGCACTCGGGGCTGCTATCGATCGATATCATGGTATCATGTGCTCGAGCTACTCGTAGTGTTTGCATTAGATTTAATAATTTATGACAGCAATAATCTATTAATTGATTTAATTATATTATTCACCTTACACTGCGTATACATAAGTTTATATTGAATAAAGTAGGGGACCATCGGTTAGCATTCGACGATTAACTACACGTACATAAACACATGTATACCCAAGCAATGCATTAGCTCGCATAAAAACTTTTGAAACAAATACAAACTGTAAAAGCAAAAATCAAATATTGCGTGTACTTCCTTTAAATGGTAAAAAGAGTCGAAAAGGCGAATCTCTCCAAGATCGGACCATCAACAGCCCGAGATATGGCTATTTTTAAAATTTTTGAAAAATTTTAAAAATTCGAATATCTTAGGCAAATTACGTCCGATTTCGGAGTGATATGGCTTGTTGGACTCGTACAGATCCCGTCTATCGATTGGCGTTCAAAAATCCGCATTCCAAGATTTGACCAAATTTCATCAAAATGGCAAGGGGTTACATCACGTTTTTAGCTAAAATTCGATTTGTTCTGAAATTGCAAAATTTGGATTCTAATTTATTCTACGGAGCTCCACGAGTCCGAAAATGCAAATCTTTCCAGAATTGGACTTCATTTGGCCGAGATATTGGCATTTGAAGTTTTCGAAAAATTTTAAAACTCAAATATCTCGGGCAAATTACGTCCGATTTCGGAGTGATATGGCTTGTTGGACTCGTACAGATCCCGACTATCGATTGGCGTTCAAAAATCCGCATTCCAAGATTTGACCAAATTTCATCAAAATGGCAAGGGGTTACATCACGTTTTTAGCTAAAATTCGATTTGTTCTGAAATTGCAAAATTTGGATTCTAATTTATTCTACGGAGCTCCACGAGTCCGAAAATGCAAATCTTTCCAGAATTGGACTTCATTTGGCCGAGATATTGGCATTTAAAGTATTCGAAAAATTTTAAAACTCAAATATCTCGGGCAAATTACGTCCGATTTCGGAGTGATATGGCTTGTTGGACTCGTACAGATCCCGACTATCGATTGGCGTTCAAAAATCCGCATTCCAAGATTTGACCAAATTTCATCAAAATGGCAAGGGGTTACATCACGTTTTTAGCTAAAATTCGATTTGTTCTGGAATTGCAAAATTTGGATTCTAATTTATTCTACGGAGTTCCACGAGTATGGAAATGCAAATCTTTCCAGAATCGGACTTCATTTGGCCGAGATATTGGCATTTAAAGTATTCGAAAAATTTTAAAACTCAAATATCTCGGGCAAATTACGTCCGATTTCGGAGTGATATGGCTTGTTGGACTCGTACAGATACCGACTATCGATTGGCGTTCAAAAATCCGCATTCCAAGATTTGACCAAATTTCATCAAAATGGCAAGGGGTTACATCACGTTTTCAGCTAAAATTCGATTTGTTCTGGAATTGCAAAATTTGGATTCTAATTTATTCTACGGAGTTCCACGAGTATGGAAATGCAAATCTTTCCAGAATCGGACTTCATTTGGCCGAGATATTGGCATTTAAAGTATTCGAAAAATTTTAAAACTCAAATATCTCGGGCAAATTACGTCCGATTTCGTACAGATACCGACTATCGATTGGCGTTCAAAAATCCGCATTCCAAGATTTGACCAAATTTCATCAAAATGGCAAGGGGTTACATCACGTTTTTAGCTAAAATTCGATTTGTTCTAAAATTACAAAATTTGGATTCTAATTTATTCTACGGAGCTCCACGAGTTTGGAAATGCAAATCTTTCCAGAATCTGACTTCATTTGGCCGAGTTATGGCTATTTTTAGTTTTAAAAAACGAAGGATTTCGCTGCATGCATTCAGGTTGCGGACTTTAAATATTTTGCTGAATACTTTTAGGCTAATCTTTACCCAATCTTTAGTTATTTTATTTTATTTTGTAACATGCATGTATTTATATATAAATGTAATTCACATAACTAGCATGCATAAATATACCGATTGCATTTGAATCGTTTACAACTAGTGCACATAATATATAGATAGGGGCAGCAATTGTTTATGATTTTCTTTGTTTGCCTTTAAACAAATACATAATTAATTAATTATCACATTTCCTAAATTGTTGTTTGTATGTTCTTATACAAATTGTATCTTTTGATGGACTATAATATTTGAATACTCGGCCAATAATGATGGGCCGGATTGGAGATGGCGAAGTCGACAATCATTTGCCCTTTTGCGCCTCCAGGTAGGTGGCGGTAAAGGTGAGCAGGCGATGGCGCTGCTTCAGATTGCGGGCGCGTACATGGGACGAGTTCAGCTCCTCCGTGTAGCTGCCGGGGAACCAGCCGACGGCGCCGTCCCTGATGCGTTCGCCCTGGTACCAGCCTAGGTGTTAGAAAAAGAGGAAGACGTTATTGGAATTTATGACAGAATCCGAAAGCGGAGCACACGCACCATCAGGCAGCTTGCGTGAGACGTTTACCACGTCGCCCAGCTCCAGCTGTAGCACATCTGGCTCATCAGATTCGTAGCTGTGCTTGGCAATAACCTGCGGACAGTCCCAGGACTCGTACAACTTCTCGCCAGGCGTCTCCGCCTCCGGTGGACGCATGGCCTCCAGCCAGCGCTGCTGATCGGACACCGATGGACAGGACAGCACCTGGACAAAAGGAATTCGAATGAGATTATGTTCAATTTCGAGACACCGCACTCGGGACACTTACAAGTTCTATGGTCTTGCGCTCGTGGTTCTCCAGCAGCGTCATCAACATGAGATTTTTGCTAGTCGGATCCTTGATGTCTTTGGTGGGCAGCTGGGGCAGTGAGTCGCCCGAGGCCAGGGTCAGCATGCTGCGGGGGCAGTAGTCGAACACCGTAAAGTTGGACTCGCCCTTGCGCTTGCAGAGCACCAGCAGGTCAGAGAAGAGGAACGCATAGATGCTAGACTTGGTGAAGCGTTTGCCAAACGTCAGCTTGGCATCGTCGCCGCGCCACATGAGATGCGTTAGCTCGCCCCGCTTGACCAGGAAACGCGGCTTGGCGCCCTGCTTGGGCACGCCCACCGGCGCTATGGCCAGGGCGCGTATATGGGCGGGGAACTCGAGCTGCTTGGAGATACGCTCTAATTCGTAGGCCTGCTCACAGCGATTGGCCGCCTCGTTGCACTGCGCGACGATCTTCTGGACGAGCGCCAGCGTCAGCTTCCAGCTTTCGTACTCGTCGGCATTGTGCGGCGACTCCTTGCTGAACACGGCATCGATGAGCAGCGGCAGCCGTGTGATCCGCTGCATGGGCAGCATGAGGAAGGAGTGCAGATTGAGGCCACAGCAGCTGGGGCTGGACTCCAGCTTCTCCAGCTGCTGCTGGAAGGCGCCGTTCTTCGCCTCCTTGAGGCGGCGCAGCGTGCGATCCATGCGGCCCTGGTGCTCGCAGAACGTGATGTACACATGGAAATGCCGCTCGGCAATCTCGCAGATGCAGCGGCTCAGCCCCAGCAGCATGATGTTGTTCTGCCAGCAGCATTCCAGCTCGGTGAGCAGACGCTCCGAGCACTCGTGCACGGGCACAATGTAGGAGAAGAGCGCCTTGCGGTCGCGCGTGCTTAGCACGGAGCTGTCGCAGAAGGCGGCATTGTTCATGAAATGGCGACGCAGCAGATTCAGGGATTTCAGGTAGCTCGCCTCCGATGTCATGATCTCGAACTTGGCCTCCTGCAGGCCGCGCTCCCGGGGCGTCAAGGTGGCTGCAAGCAACAAGCAAGAAGCTATAGAAACCAGTTGGGGCAACAATTCAGCTACTCACGCAATATGCAGGAATGGATGACCTCGGGTATTTCGCTCCAGAGCGTGCGCGACGGCCCATTCTTGGGCTCCACCAGCTGCAGAGCGCTGGGACGCGTCTTCCGCTGCGTCGTCGGCTGCGCCTTGGAGTGGCCAATCTCCTCGTATCCGTCCGTTGAGCCCTCCTGCGCCTCTAGGTCGCGCGTAATGGACTGCAAGAGGAAAACAGATTAGGAGAAGGCTTCTTTGGGGCAGCAGCGGGACACACTCACCTCCAGCTTGGCGGCGCTGTAGACCTGGTAGAGGGGCTCGTTGTCGAACAAACTGTGCGGCTGCAGCTCATCGCCCAGGCCCGCCTCGTTGCCCGTGGAGACGCCGGAGCTGCCGCTCGAACTGGCCACGGATATGCCGCTGGTCTGGTACAGACCTGACTCGGCATACCATGAGCTGCTGCCGCCGCCATTGGCACTGGGAGTGGGCGTGGTCAGCTCAGTTGTTGGTGTTGTTGTTGTATTTGTTGACTGCTTGAAGACGCCGCATTCGGCATACCAGGAGGTGGGTGAGTTTGCATCCTGTTGCGTCCTGTTGCCGCGCATCTCGACCACGGGTGGCGGCGGCGGCGGCGGCTCGTGTGGACGCACGCCAATTGTGGTACGGCGCCGCAGGGCTTTGGCCTCCTTTTTGGTTTTGCGTGCGACCGTTGAGAATTTGTGCGCCTCGACGCCGGGCGTCGCTGGCAGCACGACGGGCAGGTCGCCGGAGGAGGCCTTCTCCGAGAAACCCGAGTCCAGCTCGCCGGAGCCGTGCTGGGCCTGCTGCAGCGCCAACAGCTGCTGCTGCGACGGCGGATCCTCGATGTAGAAGGTGCTGCGCGTCGGCGTCAGCGCGGACAGCTGTTTGGTATCGAAGGAGTTGCCCACCAGGCTCTTGCGCAGTCGCGAGCGCAGGCTCTTGCCATTCTTTGGCTTGGATCGCAGCAAGCTGCCAGCTGAGGCGGGCTGCTGCTGCTGTGGCTGCTCCTGCGGACTTTGGCTGGCCAGCAGATTGCGCTCGGAGCTGCTCAGCGAGCGGGCGGCAGTCTCGTACTGCTCCTGCTTGCTCCTGCTGCGGCACTCCACATAGAACTGGGAGCCGGAGCTGCCGTTCTCGTAGATCTTCTGCTGACTGCCCTTGGGCGACTTCTTGCTGGAGATGAAATCCTTGAATTTGCGCACAATCGCATAGACTTGGTTCTGCGGCGCCGGCGGCTCCGGCAGCCGATGATTGCGCATGTCCACGCCGCTGTCATTGTGCTGCCAAAGAAATGGGAGATTAGTTGCGGCGCCCAGCTGCACTTGGTCTATTCCACTTACGTGTTGCAGGCGCTGCTCCGGCTCCGTGTGCTCATCGCTGTCCGTCTCGAAGGAGTCGTAGTCATCCGAGTTGCTCTGATGATGCTGGCCCAGCGCCTGCGCCGACGCCGAATGCTGCTTGCTGCGCCGCTGCGAGACCCGATGCTGGCCCGGCAGCAGCTGCGTCGAGTGCCGCTTGTTGCCCAGCGGCGCCAGCGTCTCGTAATAGTGATCCGAGTCATCTGTGGAGCAAATGTGACGAGATTGCGATTAGTCGTATATCAAGGGAAATACTCTGGACTATCTGCTCCTGCTGCTGCTGCCCAAACGAACCTACAAAGCTGCTGACCACCATGGACTCTCTGCCCTGCTCCACATAGCTGACGCGCAGCACGCTCTGAAGCAGGGGGAGGCAGCGCTGCCGATGCCGCTGCCGCTTCTGCTCCCGCTGACTGATGGCCGCCGCCTCATTCTGATAGATGGGCTCCGGCTCGGGCGGAGCCTGGGCCTCACTCTGCTCCGCACTTGGCTCGGCATTTAGGTAGACACTGCTTGAGGGGCAGGTGACGCTTACTTCGCCCGCGGCACGTGGCCGTCGCTTGCGCGGCAATGTGACCAGCTGCCCATTGCTGTGGGCGTGGCTACTGTTACTGCTCAGGCTGCTCGTGCAGCTGAGGCGTTGACTGTGATTTCCGCTGGTTGCCATCGCAGCATATTTTAAGCATTCAACTTGGACGTTCTCCTATCGACTGCACTAAATGATTCTAAGAATTAATTCAAGTTGTTGCCGCTGTTGTTGTTGTTGCTGTTGTTGCTTTTATTGTTGGTTGCTGAACTCTTGAACTCTGAACTCGCAACTTCGCTTTCAATTAAAAGCAATTAAGTACGTGCTACACAACAAATTTGCTGCAGCTTTTATTAAAGCCTGAACCCATTTAATGCAACAGACTTCCTTCTATCTGCATTTCCAATGCCTTAAGTATATATAAAGGAAGGTTGAACTGATATGAGCCCAACATGTCCGCCTATCCGAGCTAGACACAGATGGGCTGCCACATTAAGGCCCTGACAGTGCCATAAAGATCGGACTATGAAGACCGAAGGCATTTAAGAACGTATTTCCCATAGTGTGGGAAGGGGAAGGGGCAAGGGGAAGCACAGCAAGCGTCTTTTATATAGCTCTAGGTTCAGGGTAGAACACAACTCGACTATAGAGCTCTCTCTTATTTGCGATTTTTGATTGTGTCAACTACGTTCAACTTTCATTTGCAGTGCTCTAACCCAAGGAATAAAGCTACAACAAATGAAAATGGCAAATTGGCTTTCAGGTTTTGTGTTAAAACAAACAAAAACACATGCTAAATGGTTAATAGAAAAACCCAACTTTAAAGCTAATTTAGGAAGTCTAAAAAGTCATGATAAATAATAGTTTTTTAAATGCACATCTTGTCATAACTCCATAAACGACCCTCGCTAATTAAGCAAGTTTTTCAAGTGTCACAATAATATTTTGTCTAAACGGATGAAACGCGGCGTATGCGCGATTTTTGACTGCGCAGCCGCATGCAAAATAGCGCAAATTTTAAATCAAAATCACGCTCGAATGCAGACAGAGTCGAAAATAATAGAAACAGCAGGTACAATTGTGTGTAATTAACACACACAAGCACACGCACACACACACACAAAAAGGCGCCCAAAAAAAGCGACAGACTAGATGATAAAAGCAGAGCACACACACACGCACACACACACACACACACATGAATATTACGTATACGCAGCGAAGCGGACCGGTTCGGCAGAGATAATAAAACAGAGTTTTCGTATATGGCCAGGCAGACAGCAGCTCGATGCTAAATCTGCTCAAAAATGGCATATATATAGAAAGAGAGAGAGAGAGAGAGAGATATGTGTATATATAGAGAGCGAGAGGGGGGGGGGGAGAGAACAAACATGTGTATATAGCATAATGAAACACGATATTTTGTAGCTTGTTGACTGACCAAAGCGACACTTGTTGCGCGTGGGACGCAACTTGTTTAGCTTGTTGCCCGCTTTCAGAATGTGCCACAAGCCAATTTCATAAAAAACAAAAAAAAACATTCAGCAAGGTTCTGTGAAATGTTGTACATAAAATATATCTTGTGGTTATTCGATTGCTCATTTAAAGAGTGAACGAAAAAAAAGTAGAAAGAATCGAGTTAAGAACTGGAATATCTAGTCGCAAAAATGCAGCTGCACAGCTCGAAATTTCGTTAAGATTTGAATTTCTTATTGGAGCTAAATGAAATTTAACTAACATTGTACATGAATGTAAACTTTTAAAAGATAACAGTCACAACATCTAGTGTTGTAAAACAAGATTAATGTAAGCTGTATGTATTTTTGTATAAGTATTTCTGTAAGAAAGTAGAGTTGGGCACTCTGAGAAAAGAAGAAGAGAGCGCGAGGTGATGAAACAAAGAAAACCGATAGAATTTAAATAAAAATTTCAATGTTAAAGCTTTTTGGTTGAGAACTAATAACAAAATAAAAATATTATTTTTTATGCAATTTAGTTGTCTTTTGGCTAACAAATAAAACCAAAAAGTTATTTTATTAATTCGCACGAAATTCGCAGCACATTTAAAGACAATTTGGCAATGGCCAATGTTTGCAAAATAGTTTACAGTGCATGTAAAACTGAATTTAATTTAGTAAATTATTCAACAGTCGGAAACTTTCGTGAACAAATTCTCATTTCAATATTGCACTTTTGAAGAAACTTTTTAGATTTTCCGGTTTTTTGTTTGCTTCAGCTAACAAACTTATGTATTATTTTGCACAGTGTATTGCGTGATGCGGAAATGTTGTCTGTAGCTTTTGGCTCTTTTGTTAGGCCTTTCTGGCCACTATTTGGCTTTTGCGTGTGGGCCACACGCAAAGAAAACTGTGCGTCTAGAGTCTAGACGAGATACAGATACAATTATATGCATATGTATGTGTGTGTGTGTGTGTGTGTATATGCTGCAATTACTGCGAATCCGAGGCGATTGTTTATAATTACAAGAATACAATTTCTTAGCCTTGGCAAAGTGCACAGCAAGCGTTCATTTGGTTCATTTGCCGCTCTATCTCGCACTTTATCACGCTCTCTCTCTCTCTGTGCTATAAACATTTTTAATTATTTCCAATCGAAATGCAGCTGAGCCTCGTTCCGGCTGCTGGCCGTGGGGAGGGGGGGGGGGAGGGGGTTATTGATTGATAGATTGACGCATTAAGGTTAAACTTATTAATTGCCAAACGATGTCATTGTCTGCCGGTTATCTGAGTCTCAGATAGAAACCATTTGGCTTAATCTGCGGCTCTCCCGTATGTGCAGCTTTTAAGACAAGAAAAAACCGTCAATTTTCATTGCGGCTTTTCCGCAGTTGCGTGCAATTGTGTGTACTTTAGGTTGTGTGTAGTTTTTCATGACACTTTCGCTTTTATTTTACTTTTTTGTTTTTGTTTTAAAACATCGCGTGTTGGTTGAAAAGCGAACGTGCCCTGGGTAAAAGTTGAGCTGAGAATTAACAGTTAACAGTTAACATTGCGGGGTCGGGTTTTCACTAAATGCGCCCAAAGCCTAATTACGCATTTAACAATTTAAATTGTTTTATGCATTTAACAGTTGGGCCTGTTGCATTTGACTTCCAATTAGCTGCGTCGCAGCGCTGCCTGCGTTCAGTGAACTTTTTGTGTCGGCCATTTTGCAAAAGCTTTTTACGGGATGATATTTTCTTTTATTTTTTGAAACTTTTTTTCATGTGCTCCTCTTTTGGATGCACACACATAATTATTGCACACGATTACGTTTGATTTTGCAATTTCGCACGAGTTTGCATTTGCCTATTCCACTTTTTACTATTTACTATTTCTTTTTTATTCATTTGTATTTCGCTCAGTCATTGCAATGCTTTTAGTTTTTTATAGTTTGCGAGTTCCTTAAGCTGTTCATCGTTGTGTTTTTTTTTAACAGCTCTTAACTTCTTCAAGGTTGTGCGCTTTTGAGCGCTTTATAGTGTTTCTAGACTGGTTTTCGCTTAACAATTTCGTCATCTCTCAAAGCAGCAGCGACAACAACAATAACGGTGAAACATGAAGCTCGTTGCGGGCGTAGGGCAAGCGGGCGGGCGGGCGAACGGGCGGTCTGTGTTCAATTTCGGTTTTAGTTCGTGACGTCTCGCTGCCTTTGCATAAAAGTACAAAACAACAACCACAACAACTAAAACAACAACAACAACAGCGTGCAATAATTCAAAACTAGCTACGACGCCCGCTGCGCAGTCGACGCTGGCGTCTGACGCTGGGGTCGTCTGCTAATTTTGCATGCACCGCATGCATTTTTCTTATAATATGCTTTTCTTTTTCACTTTTCACTAAGTTGCGCGCGCACGCATAACCACATCAAAAGCAACAAACAATATTAATGAAAATATTGTTAAATATTGGCTAAGGTTTTTTCACATTTAACACACATAAATTCCACTGGCGGCTGGGCGACTTTACGACAGGCAGCGTCCGCGAGACGAACCGAACGTTTGAACTGACGCGCAGAGACTGTGCAGCTGGGAGAGAGAGACTGAGCCAGTGAGCGACTGACTTTGCGAGTGTGTCTGTGAGAGACAACGATAGAGTTGCTGTTGCTGCTGGCAGCTGTGGAATGAAAATTGCATAGCAACAACAACAAGGCAATAAGCTCGACCGTCCAGTTTATGGGCATTGTTTACGCGCGCTCACAACTTGTTGTTGCCTTGTGTGGAACCTGTCGCGCGTTGCAGTCGCGCGCAGGCGGCAGGCGCCAATTGCAATTCCAATTCCAATTTTCGCTGCTTGTGTGAGAAATGTGCGCACAGTGCTTACTCACTTGATCTGTGTGTTTGTGTTTGTGTCCGTTCATTTCATTTGTCCGTTGTTGTTATTGTTGTTGTTGTTGCTATTATGTTTACTCTCATTTGCATTGGGCATAATTAACTGGAAATTTTGTCGCCGTCGTCGGTGTCTTGTTAGTTTCCATTTCGTTTGTGGTTGTTTACTTTTGGCATTTCATTTCATTTGGTCACAGCACCTAAGGCAACGATTTTAACTACCTTGACTTGGGCATCATTACGGCACATTTATCAACAAAATTAAGTGTCACTGATGGAGCCAAACAGCATTAATTATAATTATAATTAAAGCAATTTAAATGTCAAGTTTGTTGCGCCAGCAAAAGCAAAGTGGATTGCATGTGGAACACAAGTTTAGCACGGACGCAAACCGCAGTACAGCAGGCGCTGCAAGCTCGACTTAAAAGCTCATCTGTCTTTGTATATAAAAGCTTTCATTTTGGTTGCAGCACAGTTTTATATAGGAAATCTTTGGCAAGGTAAATAACTATTGAAATAGAGCAACAAAGAAGAGCTAGATAAACAAAGAATACAGCAAAATGTTCTTTGTGCAAATTTAGTTGAAGCACAAGAAACGAAAGAGCAAAGGTGATGCAGTAGAGTGTGCTCGACTCGAAGATACCCTGCATAGAAAGCGGAGGTGCCGTAACAGTTATTCGTGTTCGCTTTACACCTACACAAGTAAAAACACATCTATACTCAGCTCGTTATACTCTATAGGGTCTGAGATGCTTCCTATTGCCTGTCACATGTATTTGCGCACAACCAATATACCCTATTGAATGCTCTATCAATTGAAAGAGGGTATACCAAGAAGACATTGTCTATTTACGTGCATTTGTATGTCTAGATCTCACAGTCTGGGAAAAAATCTATATTCAGCGCTGTGAGCAGTCTGGGCGCTATCTAATCCAGATATTGTATAACCCAATGAGTCTTATTTTTATTCATATTTGTTTAACTTACCCTCAATGCAGCTCTTCGCCTTGTTTTGTTGCAGTCTTTTGTCTCTGATGCGTTTCGACCAATCCGGGCTGCGAACACGATGCTGCTTGAAGCGTTCCCGAACGCTATAAATTAAAAATAATGAAAACCAAAATAAATAAACGACTATTTAGACTATTACTTAATTAGTTAATACAGTTATCGTTAGTACTGCATAGCGATCGATCAAATCAGGTCTTCAGACCTGGACGCCTCACTTCTAACTGTCTGTCGAACGTGTTCGGCTTCTCTTGAAGTTCTCGCATTGTTAGAGACCCAACGCAACAATATCGAGTGGGTTGCCCCAGAAGGCAGCCAATCTTATCGACTGATAACAGATGGAATTGTAGGTCAACCAGCCAATTAATATGGAACGTGGGTGTGGGTGTGGGTGGGTGTGTTGCCTGCCAACAATAGTGCATTTGTTCTGTTGTCGCAATGTCTTAAGAATATTTCATGTAGTCAGCTAAGAACTGGGGGGGAATGTAAATAAATTTGTGCCATTTACAACACTGAAACTGTTAAGAAAACTTGTGGAAATGGTCATGACTGGACAATTTGTTAACTATTGAGAAACTTTGTCTTGAATTTCCTAACAATTGAACAAATGGGAACATAATTCTGTAATGGTGAAATTAATTTACTGGGAGATGTGTGGACTAGAGAAACCTCGTTATGCAAATACCCTGTACGTAGGCCTGAGTTACCAACTGACATAATGAAAAATATCTCCTCTCTACAACATACATCAAAGTAACTGGGAAATGTGGGAGAGAAAAAGTAAGAAAGAGAGCGAGAGAAAGGGGGAGAGGGGAGAGAGAGAGACAGGGGGAGAGAGAGAGAGAGGGCAAAAAACAGAGTGAGGGAAAGAAAGGGTTGAATATGGAGGGAGAGAGAGATAAATGTGAAAGTATGAAAAGGAGAGATAAGAGGAAGAGTAAAAAGCAACCTTTCTAGGCGATTTTCATAAATTCAGTTTATACATACAGATATTGATAATTTTAAATAAGTAAAGCCCAATGAGAGCGAGAGTGAAGAAGAAAGATAGAGAAGAAGAGAGAGCTCCCTCGGACAAATGGGCACAATTCACAATACTGAATTTATGAAAATCGTGTAGAAAGGTAGTATTCACTTTTAAAAAAAAGAAAGACGCTCTAGATGTTGACATATTTTTTACTGAGTTGACATATTCCACCTTTAATCAGTTAACCCCAAATATGAATTCAACTAATCATAAACATGTCAGTGAAAAGTATTTCCTTTATATACTATATTGGCTTTTATGACAATGGAATACTAAATGACTCAGAATTGCGATGTTTTACCTGCCCGATTGTATCCGTAATTTATATATAGGCTACTATATATACCTAATCTCGATTGATTTGTATCTTATCAGCCAGACTATATACGAAAGCAAAGGAAAAAGTATTTTAAAAACGAATTGCAATTGCACAGCTAGGGAAAATCAAAGGTTAGTCAATCAACGGGCTGATCTCGGTTCAGGGACGGGTCTGACAACAATTGAGGCTTAGCCTGAATTCTGTTGAGCATTTAGTTTGGATTTTGCGTTTCACTTTGGCTATTAATCGCCTTTGATTCGATTTTCTAAATGCCTGAGCCCCGTAAAAGTCAAGAGCTTAACGAGTTCTTCGCTGACTTACGGCTGCCTTGACCCGCTTTCTCCTCAGCATTATTTATTTATGCATTTATTATAATATTTCTGGAAATGTGAACCGTGTCGCAATCTTCGGGCAACCCTCGGCGTGCAGCCCGATTGGCGTCAGCGGCAAATTGAATGCGATTGCCAACCAGCCGCAGTTGCCGATAAGATAAGCCAAATCCAAACAAACCTTATCAGCAATCTACGCAGAATTTTTTATCGCAACCGGGGGCTGCCCCCCGCCCACCTCTATTCCCCTTCCTTTCCCCTCTACTTACACAACGAACTGCGACTCGCTGGTGGCTGCCGCCGCTGCGTTGGCCTCGCCATCGGATATGTCCACCCAGGCATCGCTGTTGTCGCTGGAGCCGGCTATCGAGGAGCGTTTGTCGCACTGCTTGCCCGCCCCGCCGATGCCGCCGCCGCCCCCGCTGCCGGCGCTGCCTGCGCCGCTGCTGGCCAAGGAGCTGCGGCAGCCGACGCTGGCGCTGCCGTAGAGCACGCCCGCAGCTAGCGAGGATTCGTAGAGACTATTCGTGCGATGATCCGAGGCAAGGGTCAGCGTTGAGCCACTGCTGGAGAGCTGCACGCCGGACGCAGTTGCTCCAGCCACGCCGCCCACGCCCGCAACCACGCCCACTCCAATTGCAACTGAGTTCTTGCTCTTGCGATAGTTGGAGATGCTCTCGTAGCAATTGGAGCTGAGCGAGATGGCGTCCGTGCTGGGCAGGTTGGCGTTTTGGCTGCGCTGCATGGCCAGCGACTCGTAGCAGCCCTTGATGGTGTCATAGATGTTCTCGTCATCCTCGTCCGTGGATGCGGGCCCGGCGCACGCCTTGCCAGCGGCCAAGCGGCTGGGCTGCACGGGCTTGGCGGGCGCGGGTCGCAGGATTAGCGGCGACTTGGGCAGCACGCGCTTCGGCTTCGGCAGCTCCGGCAGCTCATCACGCGTATTCCGGCCCAGTGTGCCGGTGCTCAGTGTTGTTGTTGTTGTTGTGGGCGTGGCTGGCGGCGCAAAGGCTTCGTAGTCGTCGCTGTTGCTGTTCCGCATGGAGCCCGCTATGGACTCGTAGCCCTCCAGCCAGTTGGCATTGGCTGTGGGCGCGGCTGGAGTTGCAGCTGCTGCAGCTGTTGCCTCCTCCACAGTTTGATAGATGTCATCCACTGGGAGCTGGAGTGTGTCCGGCTCCTTAACCGTTTGGCTTGTTAACTTAAACAGGCTCGACGCCTGCGGCTCAGTCTTGCTCTCCATTGTGGGCGTGATGGGCTCGTACATGGGCTCCTCCGGCTCGGCCTGCAGCTCCCGCCTTGACTGCTGCTCCAGCTGCTGCTGCACTTCATCGGCGGCCAATTGCTTCTGTTCCATGATCATTTGCTCACCCTCAATGGCATTTACCAGGGTCACATTCACGGCCTGGTTGAGCAGCAGCTGATTGTTGGAGATCTGCTTGTTGGCCGCCTGGTAGATGAACGAGCTGTTGGGCAGCAGGCGCTGCTCGAAGTCATCATTGACCGCCAACAGCAGTTCCCCGTCCGCCGTTTTGGCCGGCTCCGCGAGTATTTTCAGCTTCTGGTCGAGCACCTCGAGTGCGGCCAGGATCTTGGCGTCCGCTTCCACGCAGGGCGACGGCATCGGCTCCGGATCCTGCTGCTCAGCTGCAGCTGTTGCTGCAGCTGCTGTTTTGATGGGCGAAGGCGAAGCGGATTTCTTGCCGCCTTTGGCGAAGGGCAGGAAGCGCAGCTTCTCGTAGATCGTGGCATATTTGTGCTTGCGCTGCTTCTGCCGCTCCTCCGCCTCGCTGTCCGCGCCCTCCGCATCATCCAGCTCATCGACGGGCAGCATTTGAGTCAGCGCTGACTCAGCGAGCTTTGGTTTTGTAGCATCATCCACGTCCACGTCCGATTGCACACCTTCGTCCGTGCTAGCATGTAGCTCCGGCGGCGTCTTGGCCAGCTCCTCGCGCACCACCGTCAGCTCCTGCTCCTTCTGCTGCTCCCGCTGCTGCTGCTGCTGGCTGCGGGCGCGCTTGCTGCGCATCTGCTTGCTGAGGCTGAGCGTGCTGGGCCTTTGGTTCATTTGCTCCTGATGCTTGCGCAGCAGCTGCTGCGGCTTGAGCGGCACCGCTGGCTTCTCCAGCTTCTCGAACTTCTTGATGTTGCGCTGCACCATGGAGCTGCGCGCCGATTGCTCCGCCTGCTGCTCCGATTGCTGCTGCGCCTGCTGCACGGCTGGCTTCTCGACGATCTTGTAGACATGGGCGCCACGCGCCAGCCAGACGCCATTCTTGCGCTTCACCTGCTCCAGCAGTCGGGCATCCTTCTGTATGATCTCATTGAACTGCTGCGTCAGCTGGCGCACCACGCCCGACGCCGAGCCGGAGCCGGAGGCGTGGCTGGACTCTGCGGCCTGGCTGTGGCTGTGACTGTGGCTGTGGCTGGACATGCGTCGCGGCGTGTGATGCTGATGGAATGATTTGCCCGCATGTGTTTTGAAGCTGTATTTGCGACGCGTGCCCGCAGCGCGTGACGTCACGGTGGTCGCCGTGCTCGTGGTCGTATTGGAATTTATGGAATTCACCGTCTGCAGCGACTCGCTGCTGCCGCCATCGAAGCTCGTCGCGCTGAAACTAATGCGAATTGCCGCCGTTCCAGCTGCTGCTGCTGCTGCTGGCTGCTCACGTCCAGCGCTGATAAGATTCACCTGCTCCCCCTTCCGCTCGCAGTCTGTCGCATTCTCATGCTCATTATCAGATAGACTGCGCTCTCGCTCCGTTTTGCGCTTGCTCACGATGTCCTCACGTTTTGGCCACTGCAAACGCTCGCCCGCCGCGCCGCCCGCCTTGACCGCGGGAAAAGTCGCGCTCGCGTTTGCAGTCACGTCGCTGCCGCGTCGCAGCTTGTTTTGCATTTTGGCCTGTTCGGCGTTTTTGTACTTGTAGAAATTATCTTTGTCCCGTTGTAGTTGCGGTGACGTCACCGGCGGCTCTTGCAGATTGTGCAAGCTGGCCGCGCGTTTTGCGCGCGTTTCGTGCGCGTTCGTCAGGCTGGGCCAATCGCGCGCGTTATTAAACGCATTCACCAAACAGCTAACCGACTTATTCAGCTTCCGCAATGTGCCCAGCCCCTGCCCCTGCACCTGTTCCCGCTGCTGTTGGGCTGCGGCTGCCTCCGCGCTGGCGCTGCTGATGCGCTTGCTCCAGAGCAGACGCAGCGTTTGGACGCCGCGGAAATCGCGAAATGCGCGCGTTTCGCAGTGGCAACTGTTGTTGTTGCTGTTGTTGTTGCCGCCTTGATTGTTGATATCGTTATGTCTATCGTTATCGTTATCGTTATTGTTAGCTTTATCGCTCGCACTTGCACTTTTCACCAGCCAACCGAGTATTGTCTTTTCTTTACGCGGCGACGCTGACGCCTTTGTTGTTGCTGTTGTTGTTGTTGCATTTCCATTGAGATCGCAGCGAGTTGCTGCCGCATCCAGATTCGAACCAGATGAGGTCGCCATGACGTCCGCTGACAACTGCATGGCTGTGATTATGTCTGTCTTGGCCGGCGACCAATGGCCAATTCACATGGAAGCTGCCGCCTCGAGGCCTGAAATAACACAGCGAGAAAGAGAGAGAGAACATTAGTTAAAGCGAGACAGCGGCTGCAAGGAGAAAGCGCATGAAAATCGTTGAAATATCTCCAAATCGAGTGGCCAAACTCTTCACATATGCAAATTATGTGCGGCTCAAGCATAAAGATGGCTTAAAGGGGGCAGAGGCAGGGGGGGGGGGGGGTGGAGGCTGCGCGGCAATTACCGTGGCATGCCTTATGCACACAATGCGAGGCAGGCTCAAACGGAACAAATGCGGCAGGAAATGAGCCACTTAAATAGCCAGCGTAAATGTAAGAAAAAACAAGTTGGGATTAAACACAACAACTCTTTGATAAGTGGCCTATAAATATTGATAAAAGATAATAACAAGCCGCAGCTGAGTCAAATAAAAAAGAAATTTATTATGAATGAGCCCCGAGAAGATAAGATATTATTATTGCTAAAAGTTGCACGGATTGCAATGCGAATGCATTTGAGAAATATTTCTATATTTATAAATATAAATATATATATTTAAATAAATATCTATTTTTAGACCGAACATAATCGTTATTTTTTTTTTATTTCCTTTTTACCGCTCACAAATGATGATTAATTAAGCCCTAATTGACTCATTAATTTGTGAACAAATAAATAAATTTAAGATATTAATTATTAACTACAAGTTAATTAAAAAAAACGTATAGTGATCCCTGATAAAAACACAACTAATATTTAAAATTCTATAGAAAATTGTTATAGGTATTTTTTTTACTATTTTTTCTTTCATGTTGTTGTTGCACGTTAGCAAGGGTATTTAATCTTCGGCGTGCTGCAGATAGCTATTCTTACTTTTTATAGAGTAAAGGATTGTATATTGGTTTTTCTGCAATTTCTGGCTCTATAAACGCACTTATTTTCATATTCCCAAAATCAAGAACTTTAAATTTGCCATAAAAAATGCCAAGCAAACGAAAACAAATCATTAATTCTGACAGTTTTAAAGCCACAGTTTGAAGGTTGGCAGCAGACTAAAACTGAAGCGTGAAGAAGATGACTTTTAATTGCAATTTGCCAAATTTTGCCTGACAATGCGAATAAAACCACGCTGCGTATGCGCAATTTTTGGAAACAGTTGAACCAAATACAATATAAAGTATAAGTCTTAATATTGTGGTTGGTTGAACCAAACTAAGCTTTGCTTATGCCACATTTACCTGGTTTTAGTTGCACACACAAGCACAAACACACACGCACACACACATACACGCACACCCGCTGTGCGCGCACAACATTGCGTATGCGTGATATGCTTTTTTGGTAATTCGATCTTATCGACAGCTCTGCGCGCAGTTAACAATATATATGTATAAAAAAATATAATAAAATGCTTGCCCAACTGCCGCACACGTTGTTGCCGTATGCCGTACAGTGCCCCGCCCACCTCGCCGCCTCTTCGTCTGCCCGCGCACGTTTTTGTCACAGACAAATGCCAATTATAATGAGCGATTACATAAAAAGCAAAAATTTCTTTCCTCTGTCGTAAAAAAATAGTTGCTTTTTTTAAGCCGCTTTTGTTAGCTGTTGTCGTAGCTTCTGTCGCGCTATGAGACCCCCCCCCTCTCTCTCTCTCCCTTCTCTCTCTGCCTCTTGCCACAATGCCAGCTGCTTGTCAGCACTTGCGATGAACGCGTTGCGAATAACAAAATAATTTTGCGCTTTGGCAAATGGTATTTAAACAAAATATTAAATACGAGCCAGGCACAGATACACACACACACACACACACACAACAAACAGACACTTGCATACACTACACTCACACACACACACACACTTGCACACTTGCACACTTGCAATGTAAATAAGAAGCTAAAATTGTTGATTACGCAAACGTTTATTAGCCATATTTTCATTTTGCCGGCTTCATTTGGGCCTATAGAAAAATCTATTTGACATCAAATATCATGTTTATTGAGTGCGAAAATAAATAAATATTTAATGAAAATTTCATAGACAAATTAACTGACAGCAAAACTGTATTCCCATGCCAGTCCACATACATACACATATATGTACATAGATAAATATCAATTCCGATCTTCGCCTGGGAATTTCGAAGATCTGATGAAATTCTGTGCATATTTATAAATTTGCATTGGCCAGAAAAGAGCACAAAAAGCTCGAATTAGCATGCTAAATGAACTGAAATTGAATTAGTTTATAAATCTTTTGAAGGCGCGTCGCATTTAAATTGATTTTTAAGCGTTAGTCGATGCCATTTTCGATCGCGAGACGCCAATGTCACACAGCTGAAACTAAGGCCAGGTTAACAACTTTTTGGCCCGGCCAATACACAATGAAACAAAAAAACAAAAGCAACAACAAAATGCTTTGCATATTTATTTTATTGGACATTTCCCGTCCCAGTGGAAACGAGCTGAGGTAATTTTAATACCAAAGCCTGGTAAACCTGAGACCGATCTCTCCTCTTATCGTCCCATAAGCTTACTGGCTACTCTCTCTAAATTGCTCGAAAGAGTCTTTTTACGTAGAGTGCTGCCAGTATTGAATGAGGCTGGTTCGATCCCAGACCATCAGTTCGGCTTCAGGCGACTCCACGGAACACCGGAACAGTGCCATAGGTTAGTAGAGCGAATAATGCAGGCGTTCGAAGAAAAGAAGTACTGCTGTGCGGTCATGCTCGACGTGAAGCAAGCCTTTGATAGGGTATGGCACCCCGGTCTGCTGCATAAACAGGCAATCTTACCAGCATCATACTTCAATTTTCTTAAATGCTACATCTCCTGCAGACAGTTTTACACTAAGTGCGGTGATGCTATTTCATCTATAAAGAACATCAGAGCCGGAGTCCCACAAGGCAGCGTTCTGGGACCTCTGTTATACACGGTGTACACAGCCGACATGCCTGTCACCCCGGATCAGAGCCTCTTGGTTGCCACGTACGCGGATGATACTGCCTTTCTTACAACTGCCAACACACCGCAGTACGCGTCCTCCGTTATGCAGCGTCAATTGGACTCCCTAAACAGCTGGCTGAAAAGGTGGAACATCGCGGTAAACCAGGAAAAGTCCACCCATACCACCTTTACGCTGCGCAAAGGGAACTGCCCTCAAGTTTTCCTAGATGGATTACAGATTCCGGTAAGCACAACGCCCAATTATCTTGGCATCACACTCGACAGACGGCTGACATGGCGTGAACACATTGTGCGCAAAAGAAAGCAGGCTGATAACAAGCTAAAAAAATATTACTGGCTGATTGGTAGACAGTCCAAATTGAAGCTTCGCGTCAAGCTAATAATCTATAAAACAATTATCAACCTGGACTTACGGCATCCATCTTTGGGGTACCGCCAGCAAGAGCAACCTGAACATTATTCAGCGGTTTCAAAATAAAGCTCTGCGAATTTTATCTAACGCGCATATTTACCATGAAAATACCACAATTCACAGCCAGCTTAATATACCTTGGGTTAAAGAGGTAATTGCCAAGTTGAGTGATCGCTACATCGCCAGACTAGGCAACCACCCAAATAATCTTGCCACCAACCTTTTAAACAACAACTGAACAACAAGACGGCTCAAAAGGAAACACCCACTTGACCTCCCCCAAAGAGTCTAACTCCACAAATTCCACTGCTTCCCCTACACTAAACACACAAAACAGACACATAGATACACGCAATACATAACTGCCATAGGTCAAAGAAAACATTTAATTATTGCCCAAAAAGTGGCAGTTTTAAATAAAATAAATAATAATTATGTAAATAAAAAAAAAAAAAAAAAAATATTTAAAAGTCCGGCGATAAACGAAAATGGAAAATGTAAACAATGCGAATGCATCAAGTTATGGGAATGAAAACAAAAGTCTGGCAAATCTCTAAAGCGACTCTCACTCAATGAGAGCTGCACCTGCAGCTGTGACACCTTTTTTATATATTTAAATACCCTGTAACTATTGGCTTACCCAAAGAGAAGGCTATGCTTAAGTCGAGGCTAAGTGTGTGACAGTTGGAGAGCTGACATTTCTGGATTGACAAATTATATATCACAAATATTTCAATATTTATTTAATAATCGACTTCTCTAATAATCGAGTTGATTTCATACTTTTACGGCTTACAGGGTATCTGCCGGTCGACTCCTCTAACTTTGGGCTAATTTATTTCATAGCAATGCATTTGCATTTGTCAGTTGCATGGAAATGCCTTTCGAAAAGATGCACCGCCAGCTGGGCCCATAAACAGATGCACGGCTTATATTTATTGAGACATCCGTTTGCAATATAAAAAAAAAACTGGTCATAATTTTAGTGAGATTTTTACAGTTAGTTGCATTGACAAATTCACGTTAAGGTGAAAGTGACAAAGTTAATAAACACAACAAAAACGCTTCAACTTGAAGCCCAACACAAATAGCTAGCTGCAGCCTAATGTCTGGCCAATGACAGATACCATTGTTCAAGTAGAATCGACGTTTGGACACGCAAGCTAAGACAAGAAGAAGAAATGGCCAGATAAGCTGCTGCTGAATGTGAATGAATGCGGAAGACTCGGCGCGATAAATGTGGAATTATTCACCAAAGCGATAAACGATAAATGCATTGAAATTTCTATAAATTAAATCAACGAGAATTTATGTAGATATTTATGTGTAGAAGAAGAAGAAGGAGAAGAAGAGACGTCCCATTAGAAATGTGAAAGTTAACTTTTCTTTTTCTTTTCGGCCTTTTGTTTTTAGTAGCTTTGACTATTTCGGCGGCAAACTAATGAACTGTCTCGAGAAAAGATTTAGTGAAAATTTCGTCACGATCTTAAGAAGCGTTTTTAATGAGCCAACCAAATTGGCTGATAATGAATTCCATTTGGTTTTTTTTTTGCGTGTGTGTGTATTACGGAACTTTAATCGATTATTAATTGCAGTAGATTGGAATGCTTTTAATTGAAAAGTAAATCTGTTAACAATATTAACATTAACAGAGCATGTCTCTAATTGAAAAGTAAAGCTGTTATCAATAACAGCGCATGTTATCCGTATACATCAAACAGAATCTCCTGATTGACATTAAAGATTTCTACTGTAAGGCTGCAAAATTATGAACACTTTTTTATATTAAGGCTTTATATAATTAATACTGAATATTCAAGCAATTTTATATAATGCACATCAAGGTCAAAAATAAGCTGGGCATAGCACTTTATATCCAATGCCCTTCAAACTAACTTTTAAAGAATTTATATAAATTGTCAATTGAAACGTGCTTCACATATTTTAGCCAATTAAGGTGGACTTGAACCGCCAATCAAGGTAGTACCAGAAATTTGTATTTTTCCACGGGTGGAAAATGGGTGAAAAGTGGATGAACAAGCACTACGTTGGTCAATTCTACAGTAACTTAAACTAAACTTACTCAATTTAAATAAATCGTATTTTCTACATTTATTTAAGTGATTTTAATTGCTGATAAACACATTTACATCACACTTAACACGTGCCACTGCAACCCACAAGGACCTTTGACTGAAAAATATTTATTGTCTTATGTTTCAGCTTGCATTTGGCTTTTTGTTATGCCGGTTGCCTGGGCAACGCATTCATTGACATGCAACCACCCGAGCCGAATGAAAGGCGCCTCAACCAACCCCTAAAAGTGGCGGAAATTCAACCCTAAATAGTCAATGCCACACGTTGGGGCTGGTCAACACGGCGTATGCTTTGCAACACATTAAACAAGCGTAAACAAATAACAAAAAAAATAAATATATATTAAGGGCGCAACGGCTGAGAGGGAAGCCTTGGGTCGATAGTTTGCATAGTGGCCACTCGAGGGTTTGTTTCTATTTGCATGACATATGCCCGTTCGGTCTGTCCATCTGTCTGTCCGTCCGCCTTACCGTCCGTCCGTCCGTCTGTGGCTCCCTTTGTGCGAATTATTGAAGTGACTGCTTTGTATTTGCGTTATTCGTGTCCGTTTTCAGTCTTCATTCATCCAACTTATGTTTGGCATTTCGCCTAGTTTAAGGCAAATTCAATTAACTAAATTAAAGCACATATACTATATATAGAACAATATTGAATGGAACATCATATTCCATAAGGTATATGAGTATAAGCATACCAAATTTCCCAGCTCCAGCTTTTGTAGTCTCTGAGATCAAGGAGACAGCAGCTTGTGGAATACTTTTGTCTATATTCGACATAGTATTAAAATACTTAATAAAACTTCTTTTAAATCTTAAAATCAATAGATACTCATTAACCATATTCTAGTTATAAAACAAATTTCCCAAATCCATCTCTTCTACTGTCCAAGCTCGCTAAATGACAATTGCAGAGCTGACATTTTCAAGTTGACATTTATATATCATATATGTGCATATGTCAAGGCTAAAAGTTCGCTGTAAGCTGAACTAGCTCGAAACCGGAATACTGGTTCTTACTATGCGGTTCATTCGGTTCTTGAGCAGAATCAGTGATCATATAAATAGCTCATTCCGGAGCTGAACTGATATTTATTTGGGAATAATATTTTTAAGGCTAAAACGTTGATTCGAACCAGTAACTTTTTTATGCGCGGCGAAGATGGTAAATGTTTTTAAGTAATAAACACAAAATAAAACTCAACTGGAAGCCCAATACAATAGCCAATGACAGATATCATTGTTGAAATCTTCAAATCAGTAGCTAATGCTCATTAACCATATTCTAGTTATATACCAAATTTCCTCAATCTAGCTCTTCTACTGTCCAAGTTCGCTCATCATCTGCCCTTTTGTATGTGCTCATATATATTTATGTTTATATTAATACCTCTATATTAAATGATTTAATTTCAGAGTTCGCTGAGTACGCAATGTAGAACAAGCGACTTGGGGGTTGATTAAAGCTCGTGCTCATAGGATAACCATATATAACTTCTAACACAGAACCGCATTTTAAATTCAATTTAACTTATATATAAATACACCTATATATATTTATATTTACCTATATTAACTGATAAAGGCCGCTGAGCATTAGTCACTTTGGGCTTGCTTATCACGCCGTGGACGCACATATGGTGCACTATATAAACTAATTAGTCAGATTTGTAATATACTTATTACCAGTTCGACTCTTGGCCAATACCAATGCAGCTTATCTGTTGTCAAAGTTTTTGCAGCAAATCAATTTTCGTTGCTGACTTAGACCCAGAGGCATGTCTATATGGTATGTAGATATACATACTTTACAGCTAATGCACTTGTATGCATATTAACTGCATTCCAAGCTTTGTGGCAACTCTCACAGACTACAAAGAACCGCAAAAAAAAAGTCAGGTGTGTAGAGGGGTGGTTGAGGGAGGGGGGGGGGGGGGTGGTTGTTGCCAAGTAGGCGCTGAAGGTAGTCTGGGAGACCGCATAAAGCACAGAGGCGTGTAATTAGCGTGCAGCATTGGCAAAGTAAAGTTATTGTTGCTTCTTGTTGTGTTGTAATACCCTAGACGAGGCTATTTTAAAATGTGATAAACTATGTAACGCATAGAAGAAGACAACGCTGAGGACGTTAAGTATATATATTTAAGATATGCCTTGGAAGCAAACGGTCTTAAATGAAAAAAATGGATTGTTTTTTAAAATATAGCTCAGGTAAACTTGGTAATTATATGCTCATATATATATATTGATAAGATCGTGTTAATATTTTAGGCTGCCAGTAAAGCTTATAATTAAAATATTAAAAAGATCACTAAATCAAATAGCTCCTGTAGAAGCCATCGCGCGGAAATAATTTTTTTATAAAAACACCTTTGCAAGGGTATTTAAACTTCGGCATGCCGAATACTCTTCGCTTTTTTTGTTGTTTTTTTCTCTGTTCCTCACATGAGCACAATTAACGGTAGCTGCGCCGCTTAACCGTAAGATGAGCCATCTCAGCTGTAGGCACAACATGGCCAGCATTAGCCATAGGCCAGGCGCAGAGGTCAGTTCTGAGGCCAAACAGACAAGAAAAACAACAAAAAAAAAAACGTCAACGCTAAGCATTTTACAGTTAAAGAACAGAAAAAGAGCAAAACCAAAAAGCAAAAGCCGCATTGCATTTAATTACCATTAAGTCAGGCCACAGCTGTATGAGCAGAAGAAGAAGCAGCGCAGATGTCATACATATATAATCCACATCACGGTAGAAAAAGAGAACATAAAAAAAATAACACTTTGCAGGCGCTCGAATTGGCAGGCTTGGCAGGCCCCACACACACACACAGACACAAACACACACAGCCTGTTCTTGGTGAAATTTTTGTGCAGAAGCTGCTGCTGCTGCTGTTGTTGTAACTATTTTTATATGTGGGCTTTAGCCAAGTGGTTTGGCTAGATTCTTGGCTTAATTTGATTTTGTGGGCGTTTCACTTTTGCCAGCCACTTTCGTTTCACCTTACACGCATACACAGCCTACATATGTGTGCCAAATTTTGATTACTTTGATTAATGCACATCATATCCATTTTTTTTCAATTACAAGAGACGACATAAACACAAGTAAAGAGCTTATGCGCGCGCGCAGCTCATGACAGCGAACACACACACGTACAACGAGAGAGCGAGACACAGCGACCGTCCCATCGAACGACTGCGAGGCAACTGAATGGCTGAGCTGCGGTGGTCGCTGTGCGAGCTGCGACGTGAGCAGCGACGTCGCTGTCGCTGCCAGCGTCGCTGCGACAGCATCGATGGCTGCGCTTGCGTCGCGCCGTTTCGCATTCCTGTGCATTGGCTGCATTTTGTTCTGATTCTTATGCTGCTCTGCTGGCTGCTGGCAGCGCTGCATTTCTCCACAAGTATGCGATGCATGCAACGCCACCGCCGCCGCCGCCGCAGCCGTCAACGACCCACAAAAGCGGCTGCCTACTTGGGTGAAGCTGCGCGAGCTGGCGGATGCAAGTTGCAAGTTGCAAGTTGAAGTCACTTAAACAGCGCCTGTTCTTTGTGGCAGCAGCGTTCATTGGCATTTGGCTTATGGGCAGCGGCGTTTTAATAAGCTAAACAAATTTTTAATTAAGACGCTGGCCACTCTAATTGATTTAAAGCCTGTTGCCTTCTCACTTCCACACCTCATCTCCGGCCTGTGGAATGTGTCTGCACAATTGGCGTAAATCCCATTAGAGACGCGCACGGAAACAAGTTTTGGCTTTGGTTTTGGTTTTGCTTTTCGTTTGTGACGAAAGCCAAACACCAAAAAAATGTACACACACACACACACGCACACATTCATGCGCGCGCTGAAGAGCCGATAAAAACAAATAACACAACAACAAAAATTCAATACCCGTTCGAGTCGCAAGTTCTTGCCAAGTTCAACGAACAACAGCACAAAGCAAACGGCACACAAAAACAAAAACACAAGAAAGCAAAAAGCAATTTAACGTTTTACTGCTTTTGCTGTGTGTGTTTTGTTGTGTGTGTGCGAGCGAGACGCATTTCAAGCTCGCTGTTTAGGGTGACCATGCAGCGCTGTTAAATTTATTATGGTGGCCAAAATATTGGCATGCATTTAACAGACGCTTATCAACAATGCCGCGCATCAAAGTGTGTCCATTCAAAAAAAAACCAAAACAATGCCAAAGAGCTGTGCGAACATTTCGCAAGCCCCAAACTGCGGCGACCCGCAAACCTGGTTTTCATTTTCATTCAATTCAAAATACAGCGCCAAAAAAAAGGCGGCAACAACAAGCCAAACATGGGCCTGTCAGCGGCTGCAACTCACGGCCCAATGCAACAGGTGGAGAGGCAGAGAGGGGGGAGGGGCTAGGGGACACAGTTTCATCTGCCACAGCGTCTATTTATGAGCCAACCGCATGTGGCAAGCGGCAAAAAAGACGTTAAAAACGACAGTAGCATTGCATTTGCCACACACTTGTTGCCCAGCCGCAGCCCCGCCCCCTGCTGCGCCGCACGTGTAATTTGCATCAGGTGGGCGCTCCACATTTGTGCGCCAACTGTGCCACGCCCCGTTGCCCACTCGCAGCAGCTGCTCCACGCGAACATTAAGAGCGAAAAAAAAAACACTGTAATTATCGACACAATTTTTGACTGACGAAATACTACGAACACGCGTACTTTGCCTAGAAATACACAACTCCCCTTCCATTCTCTGTTAAAGTGGGCCTTTCTATACCCTATCCCTATAGGGTATATCACATTACGTATCTCTCTATGCAACGAACTTTAGGGACTTTCAATCAGAAATAAATGAGGTTTCTATCATGCACAGTACGTATTTTTTCGATATCTGCCTCATTTTCTTAAAATCGATTAATATCGATTTTTAAAGAGCGTTTTTTAAACATATTTCAGAGCTTATGAGAGGGTAGCTCTCAATTCGGAATATCTTTAATTTTTGGAATACATCTAGCCCAAATCCCACTCCATAATCAATCAGGGTATTTGCTGGTCTACTTGATATTTGCCCCATTTTCTTAAATCGATAAATATCGTGTTGTAAACAACGTTTTTAACATATTCCGGTGTTTATAAGAGGATATCTTTCACTTCTGGAAGACCAACTCAAAAATTGAGCAGGGTATTTACAAGTCTATTAGATATCAGCCCCATTTTCTTAAAATCGATAAATATCTGCCCCATTTTCTTAAAATCTATAAATATTGTTTTTAGTTATAGCAAATTAGGTAGGTCTGTTTTATATTATACACAGTTTGGGCATATTTCACTTCTGGAATACCTTACCTCAAATTTGACTACAAAATTGAACAGAGTGTCTACTAGTCGGGCATTCTCGTATACAGCACGCTCACTTGCTATAAAATATTTATATTTTTGTAAAAATGTTCAACAAATTTTCTCTGCCTCAGCAATTTTTGTAGATTTAAGTGCAGAGTATTTGCGATTCGGTGCGTTTGACCCGTAGTTTCTTGCGCCAACTTCTTTGGTCTAGTTAATTTATCGCACAACTCACGCATTTAGCGGCTGATGTCAGAGACTTTGAGATTTGAGAGCTGAAACAAATGCGAATTTCTGGCTGAGCGGAAAAACGACTTTCCAAATGTCGCATGCAATGGAAATGGAAATGCAAATGCAAATGGAAATATGAAATCTGATATCTGAAATTTGAAATGGCAAATTTTCACTTCTCGCTCGGTTCTCTGCGGCTCCGACCTTGCCCCCCCTCCACCCCTCGCCAGAGAGGAGGGAGGGGGTCTAATTTGAACGTGATTTGCATCGAATGCGCAGCGAGACTGTGCCACGTACTTCACGCGGTCGTCGCTCGATGATTCGTGATTAATCAGTTAACTCTGGCTCTGGCCATATCGCAACAGGTAAATCGAGAAGAAAGTCGGCAAATCCAAAATATCAGCTAACGAGCGCGTGGGGCTGAGTTTCCGAGGGAAACAAAAACAAAAACAAAAACAAAAACAAAAACAAAAAGGTATAAATTAGACGTCACAGACAGAACTCACAGGGAATTTAATAGCTGAGTAAGCATTTGGTAGAAATAGACAGCTGAGTCAGCCTGACTAGCAGATACTCTATACTGTTTAGTTAGATGTAGTCGCCGGGTTTCTCATAATATAGAATCTTGATATAAAACATTTCTTTTCTGAACGCAGGTTCGATCCTCAAACTTCGTGTGAAGTGTACGAACAGCTGGATTTGAACCGGACACTTCTCGCTTGACAGTTCGACTTTCGAGCACATAATCTTCGCAGGCTCCTGAATAGTTTCTTGTATTCATTTTCTACTTATAATAAGATGGTTTGGAAAGAATCCGTAGATACTAAAGCTCAAAAGCTTAGATATACTTTAAATTACAACTCGAACCGGTTTGACCCCTGTATTCCAGATTCTTTCACTTTTACTATAAGATGTACCTTGTCCAAAAAAAAAAAAAACTCTGTCTAAAACCCCAACCAAATCGTATTTTGAAAAACTTATAATACCCAAAAGAGTATTAGAATTTCATGATGAAATGTGTGAAGAAGACTTCTTCGACCTCATAAGGTGTATACATTCTTAGTATCAATAGCCGGGTCGAAATGTATATATATATATATTTTTTTTGGACTGAATGTTTTATATATATATAAATATATAGCCATATCCGTCTATCCTGCCGTCCGTCAGTCTGTTTCTATGCATTGTCTCTCAAGCTTAAAGATATCGTCACAGATCCAAAGATCTGATGCATACAGTCTTAAACGGCCGGATCGGACCACTATATCATACAGCTACCATAGGAAAAATCAGTCGAAAATTAAGTTCTTGCATGAAAAATTCTTTTGTTATTCGAGACATCTCAATCAATCTTGATATTATATTATATATAAAGTATTTTTCTGTATTCAGGCAAATATAAGTCAGAAAGTCCCAAGCAAATACCACCAAAGGGTATTCAATCTGCGGTGTGCCAAAGATGTCATTTATTTTGGTTTGAGCTTAGGTTCGTGTGCGTTTTTGATGGGCTACTCATGTGGTTCAAGGTTCGGTTCATGCGAATACAACAAGTGGAATGTTTGCATTCGAGCCGAATAGTGAATAGTTAAGACTTAACAATACCCTCTCCAAGCGCACACTCTTCTAGATTAGAGGGCATTCAGTGTGAGCTCATCTTTGGCGAAGTCGCGTTGAATGAACTCTCTGTGGGCCACATTGGAGCTGCGGCCCAGCCCACGCAGTCTGAGCCTGACATCGTTTCGGAGCTGCCAAAATGTACAACATTGAACTATATAGAATACTATAAACATGTTCAATGTGAAATCATTGTCGCACGACTTGCCACAAACCAAATGCCAAATGCATAACAATGAGCAGAAAAACAGAAAAACAAAATCGAATATTCGATGCGGAATTTCACAAAGTTTGACCATAAATTGGGGACTGTGAAAAAGAATAAGACGATGACAACTTAATTAGCATGCTGCATGACGTGTTGAAAGCCAAGACTGATCACTGATCACTGATCACTGATCATTGATCAGTGCGACAATCGATCAGCGTAGTCAGAAACTAGTTAAAACTCGCGACAATTACGTGTTTTTTCCAGCTAAAGACATAAGTATATACACACATGTACATTTAGTAAAGGGGAGGGGAAGGGGAAGGGGAAGGGGGGGGCTAAAAACTGCTGATGTAAAATGTTTAAAACATTGGCGCAGCAAAGTTCATTGGCTGGCGCAACAAATGCATTGGCAGCCACAATTTGCCAGGCATCCAAAAATTGGAGAGCGCGCCGAACGGCCGCCACGTGCGTGGACAGACTTTTGTGCGGCACTGTAAGCGGAACGGGTTTGCCAACGCCTCTTGGGTCCAGCTTGGACCACTTGACGCTTTCTTCGGCATGTGTGCCGTGAGTCAGAGCCGCAGGAATGCCCCTTCAAAGCAGCATAAAAAAAAAACAACAAACTGAAGCCGAGAGAGAAAAAAAAACCGGGTCAGTTCGGCGCGGAGTCTACACTCAGGGAAAGAACCTCGTAAAATCCACACATTCCGAAATTTACAATCACTAAGCTGGGGGAAAAAAACAGAAACTCTTTAATCTTAACTCATAAGATGCACAAATTCTGGCATTTCCAAGAACTAAGCTGGGAGATAAAAAG